TGGCAGCTCGGGCAGCAGGGCCTCCCTGGAGGGTCTGTCCCTGGGCTCCTCAGAGGAAGCGGAGCTTCAGAGAGGAGGTAGGAGGGACTGGCCGAGCCTTCCCCCTGGCGGGACCTGGTGCCCTGCATCGCACCTGCGGCCAGCAGGCTGAGGTCGTGCAGGGTGGGGACATGGACCCCAGCTCCTCCCGGAGTCCAGGGGCCCCAGCCAGGCCCGGGCAGGAGGGTTGAAGGCAGAGGGCGGGTGGGGATGCGGCTGTGGGGACCCCGGAGTCTGTGCTGCCTTGCTCCCCTGCCTGCCTGGCCTTCCGGGGAGGCAGCCCTGCGGGTGCGGAGTGGGGTGCCAGCCCTCCGCGGTGCTCTTTGCAGATGGAGGCGTGGGTGGCAGGTGGCAGGGTAATGATAACTCCTGCCCATCTCTGCCCCCACACGCTGCACACACTGAACCTCCTCTCTCTCTGGACCTGCCCCAGCCCAGCTCCTGTGCTGTACCCTCCTTTGGGTCCCAGGGCACAGTCAGGCCTGGTCCAGGCCCATCAGTGCTGCCCTGGGGCAACTTGGCCTGACCACTGCCCCTTGGGTGCCCACTGCTACCTGGGTCTGCGTCCAGCCAGTGTTTGGGGCCTTGATTCCACTTCAGGTCACTCGGGTGCCACAGGTCCCAGTGGCCACAGGTCCTGGTCAGAGCTGGGGAGAGACCTGGCCAGGCAGGGTCTGCACCCAGTCCTCCAAGCCCATCTCCTGCCGCCCAGGCCAGCCCTGTCCCGGGACCCCTGCGTGTGGTCAGGTAGGCATGGGCGTGTGGCAGCCCATGCCCAGGCCAGGGCACCTGGGTGCTGGGGAAGGGGCTGTGGTCTGCGTGCAGCTCACCCGCTGTCCACCCGCAGCCATGCAGCAAGTCCTGGACAACCTGGGGTCTCTGCCCAGCGCCACCGGGGCCGCGGAGCTGGACCTGATCTTCCTGCGTGGCATCATGGAAAGCCCTATCGTCAGGTCCTTGGCCAAGGTGGGTACCCAGGGAATGGGCATGTGGTGGGTGCCACGCTGTGCCAGGGTGATCCACAGTACACTTAGGCTTGGGGGCACCGACACAGGTGCCCGGCTCTGCCTGGGGTGGAGAGCGAGGAAGAGGGTGGAGGGCAGGTGCTCCAGACCCAGAAGGGCTCCAGGACCCTGGGGAAAGGGACTGGTTGTCCAGGGCGCCCCTGTGGTAGCCCTGGGGGGACACCTGGGGTCACCTGGAGCTGAGGGACCTGTTAACAGGGATGCTGGGAGACCAGAGCCCAGGCCCAGGTGTTGAGGTGGGAGAAGTCAGGGCCCAGGGTCACCCACAACTGTGGGGAGGGACAGGAAGTCTGCAGTGACAGCCTGTGGTGGCTGGAGGGGCAGGCGGTACGAGGGGGAGAGACTCACGGGGTACTGAGGACCAGGTCCCGCTGCAGGGCTCTGTGTCCCCAGGACAGCCTGGCTTGTGGTCGTCGGGGTGGTAGAAGGCTGGGAGGGGAGAGGAGCAGATCACAGAAAATCGGAGAGGGTTAATTTTGAGAAATTTGGGTGATGAGGATATTAAGCCAGTTGCAGTAGTTAGGCAGGTTGCTTGGAAATTGTGCTCATTTGTTAAAATCAACAGCAAAAAGCCAGGCACAGTGGCGTGTGTCTGTGCTCCTAGCTTCTTTGGAGGCTGAGACAGGAGGATCTCTTGAGCCCAGGGCAATGTAGCAGGACTCTGTCTCTACAAACGGACAGACAGACAAAGGGAGTGCTGCACAGGTCAGGCATCAAGAGTGTGAGCTCTGACAGGGAAGGAATGTTTGGTCCACTCTCTGTCCCCAGAGCCCAAGACAGTGGTGTCTGGCCCATGGTAGGTGCCAAGTGCATATCTGTGTGTTGCTAACACAAAAGGGTGGAGAAAACCACAGCCTGGGCCCCTGAGCGCCCATCACACTGGCCTGAGTCGCCCTGGCGCCTAAGCTTGTGTTTTAAGAAACCCAGGGTACTGTGCCGAAGTCCTCTTCTTGTCCCCTCTTCTGTCCCTCCCCAGGGCAGCACCGAGGAGCCCTTCGTGTCTTCCCGTCTGTTTGGCTGCCTGCATGCTGTCCTCGGTGTCTGCCTGGGGAGCGTGGTGACGCTGGCCGGTCTCAAGGCCTCTGACTCATGCACGATGCTGCTGTCCCTGGCCATCCATCCCCAGGGAGCACGCAGCAGCCCCTGAGCCTCAGGGTCCCCTGTTTCCAGAGCCGTGTCAGGGTTGGGTGCATCAGTGACATTATCTTGGGGTCACCCTGGCTCTGATCTTTGCACAAGAGGCTCATGGGGTGGCACAAGCACGGATTCAGGGTTCTCCAGACCCCAACAAAGGGGCCTGCTCAGCAGCTCTGCAGATAGAGGATTGCTGCCCGCTCTGCCATCCATCCATCCATCCATCCGTCATTTATCTCTTCAACAAATGTCTCTGTGTATCCACCGGGTATGAGGAGGCTCTGAGCTGGGGGCAGCAGTGACCTCAGTGCTCTGCTCTCTGCTGGTGGCCCCAAGTCTGTCCTCCTCTGGGTCCCACAGTCCTGGAGCTCAGCACAACCTGGCTAACATCACTTGTGTGCTCTCAGGCTAATGTAAACTGCACTGGCCATAAACTAGCCCAGGGGCCATGGGAGTGTGGCCGTGAGGGCAGGAGCCTCAAGCGGATGGACCCGGCTGAGCCCACGGCCGCGGATGGGCCATCAGGAGGATGTAGGACCTTTGACCTCAGGGGGCTTCTTCCTGCTCTGTTCCCTGGCTGCTGTGAGGTGAGCAGATTCCCTTCCACCTCCACACAGGCAGAGCCGACCGTGGACTGAAAGTTCTGAAACCGTGAGCTGGAATAAACGGCTCTTCCTCTGAGCCGTGGGCTTTAGCCATCCGTTCCCCGCAGCATTCACGAGCTGACTGTAGGGCGTCGGAGGCTAAGCGCCGAGAGGGGACAGAGGCAGCAGGGACGAGAGCCGGGGAAGTGGAGTCTGGTGGGCAGACAGCAGGGTTGACCCGGAAGCAGCAGGTGCTCCAGGAGCTCCAGGAACCCGAGGCAGGAGACGCCCGGGATGGTCACCCGTTGCCAGTGGGGTCCGTGAGGGCCCTGTGTGAGCCTGAATCTTGTGTGGATGAAAGCACAAGAGCACAGGCTCGCTGTCTGCGTACTTTCGCCCTCTCTGAGCCCTGCCATTTCCCTGACAAGCAGGGAGGAGGAGCCCGAGCCCTGTGGGGATGGTGGGGGCTGGGCGTAAGCTTTCACGTGGTCCCGAGCTCCTCCGTGGCCTGAGGCCACGGGCTCCAGTGTGGCTCTGGCCCATGGGAGGTGGCGGGAGCTGGCTGAGCGGCGCCCAAGGAGCGTGAGGGTCTGGTGGTCGCAGGGACAGGGACTGAGGGAACTGTCCAGGCAGAGGCACCGCCCGGTCTTCTGTGTCCCCACCCTGGTTGGTGGTGACCCTGTGGGGCCTGGCTGCGGCTCTGTCTGCTGGATGGCGATGACCCTGTTTCTCTCTCCTCGCTGCTGTCACTGCCAAGGGGGCAGCTCTGGCCCCTCGTGGTGGTCTCCCAAGTAAGGGGGTGCTGGGTCCCAGGCCCTGCTGGGACCGTCCGCTGAGGGTCCAAAGCACTCAGCCTCGGGCAGGCGCCTGCTTTTAGATCCCACGTGGTCTCTGTAGACTGAAGTGTGCGCCCGGGCACCCGTCTTCTGCCCAGGCAGAGGGGTGGGATGGGTTTGGCACCGAGCTGGACCCTGGAGAAAGCCTCAGGCTGGACTCACTCCAGCTCAGTCAAAGGAATAGACAAAGGGGCCTGGGACGTAGAGCCGGGTCCCCTCCGGCACGGCCCGGCTGCAGATCTTCGCAGCCAGCTGAGGCTCTGCCCTGGGTCTGCCCTTGGCCCCCAGCACAGAAGGGAAAGGAGGGCTGGAAAACCGCACAGCTACGCAGTGACTCTCCAGACCCCGCTCCCCGAGCAGAGGAGCCACAAGGGCAGCTGACTTGCGGGGCCATCAGGGAGGAAGCAGACCAGGCGACTGAAGAAACAGAAGGTGCTGATCAGTGCGCCTAACGAAGGCGCAGATAAGAAACAATGGAGCTGGGCTGGGGACGTAGCTCAGTGGCACCGCGCCTGCCTGGTAAGTGCAGGCCCTGAGTTCGATTCCTGGAACTGAAAAGAAGAACTAACCAAAACCGTTCGAAACAAGAACAACAACTTTCTTAAATACGGTCCTCAAGGAGGAGCCCCACAGAAATCCCAAGGCGAGAATGCTTCGCGGGCCTGTGGCGGGGGGCGGGTGTGTCAGGCCCGGGAGGTGACCGCGAGCCCGAGGCCTTGGGAGCAATAGGAGAGGAGCAGCGTTTGACCCCCTTTTCGGGGATGTGGGGGAGAGCGAGCGGAGACAGCTGCTGGCGCATGTGGAAGAGCAGTGGGCCTGCGGGAATCGGACGGGGGGAGCTTTCCACAAGCAGTGAGCGAGGCCTACAGAGCCCCGAGCGGCCGTGAGCAGAAAAGAACCCTGACGGCCACCATCCTGGAGACCCAGAAACAAGCAGAGAGCCCGGCGTGGTGTGCGTGCAGGTTTTCCAGCACTAGGGAGGCTGAGGCAAGAGGGATGCCTGGCACGACCCCGTCTCAGAAACCAAAACAAGGGCCGGGGATTTAGCTCGGTGGTGCCGCCACCTTCCCAGGGCAAGGTCCCGAGTTGGATCCCTGGTACAAACAAACAAAGAAAGAAGAGGGAGAGAGAAAAGCTGTCAGAGAAAAGCACACCGTAAAATCACCTTTCAAGGTAAACCCATCAGAATCACACATCAAAGGCAAGGACTGCTTAGGCTGAAGTGTTTCAAGCCCTAAAAGAAGACAACTTCCGGCCAGGCCAGTCTGTCCTGCAGGACTGACAGAGAGAGAGAGAGTCCACTCCAGGACAAACAGACCTGAAGGGTGGCTGTGTTGGGTGGGGGCTCCAGGTGACCCCGTTCTGGTCCGGATGGCGGGTTCTTAGATCCTGTGTCACTGAAGAGATCTTACGTTTTTTTCTTGTTTTGTTTTGGTTTTTTTGAGACAGGGTCTCACTCTGTAGTTGAGACTGACCTGGAACTCACTATGTAGCCCAGGCTGGTCTCGAACTCACAGCAATCCTCCTGCCTCAGCCTCCCGAGTGCTGGGATGACAGGCGTGCGCCACCATGCCCGGCTCATATTCATTCATTTTAAAAATACATTTGATTTTCTTTTCTCCCATTCCCCCCTCAAGCTCCCTTCCTCCCTGTGTACAGAAGCTTTGTTTCCATTTTTCCTTCTGTTTTCACTTTTTTCCTGTCCCTTCCTCTCTCCCTCCCTCCCCCCTGTTCCCCTTCCCATCTGAACCCTTTCTTCCCATTTCCCAACATCCATTACATATCTCAGTCCTTATTTCCGCTTCAGTTTCTCACACCAGAGAGGCAATGCCATCTTTAAATGTGTGTCTGATTTATTTCACTTAGGCATGGTCTCAAGGTCCATCCAATTAGCTATAAATGTCTCATCCTTCTTTATGGCAGAGTAGTATTCTGTTTTATATTTTAAAAAACACATCTTTATCCCCACTTGGTGTTTGATGGGCATTTGGGCTGTTTCCAAGACTTAGCTATTACACGCTGTGCTGCCATGGACATGAATGTGCATATAACCCTCGGGTTCTTTCAGGAAGATACCAAGAAGGGCGATCGCCGGGTCAAATGGAACCTCTAGGTTTGGCTCTTTGAGGAATCTCCACACTGATTTCCACAGTGGGTGCACCAGTCTGCACTCCCACCAGTAGTGGAGCAGGGTTCTTTTTCCCCCACAGCTCCTCCAGCATTTGTTATTGGATGATTTCTTTTCTTTCTTTTTTTTTCTACTGGGGATTGAACTCAAGATCTTGTGCTTGCAAGGCAGGGGTGGGGCCGCTGAGCTACATCCCCTGCTCAACATCTCCCTATCTTGAGCTGCCTTTAGTCCCAGCAACTGGGAAAGCTAAGGCAGGAGGATTTCTTGAGCCCCCGACCCTGTCTCAAAAAAACCAAGAAACAAAAAGCTACCTGTCTAATGCTTCAAAAACTTTATGGCAAGTTTCAGAAGTGTATCCTAAACCTCTGTCTGTCCACTGGCTTCATCATTAAGCCACTCACGAACAGTCTGGTTTCCTGCGGCCTCCAACCATGTGCAGATCACGTAGCAAGATTATCTGTGGTCATTTCAGGGTGCTCATCAGAAGACAAGCAGGCTTTGGAAAGCTTACAGTAGCAGCGCCAAACCTAGCATCTAAGAAAGAAGACTAGTGTTTTTTTGTTGTTTTATGGTACCAGGGGTCAAATTCAGGACATTTCATTTTTGAGGCACGTGGCACCACTGGGCTGAATCCCCGGCCCTCTAGTGGGTTTTGTTTTGTTTTTTTTGTTTTTTTTGAGACAGGGTCTCACTCTGTAGTTGAGACTGACCTGGAACTCACTATGTAGCCCAGGTTGGTCTCGAACTCACAGCGATCCTCCTGCCTCAGCCTCCCGAGTGCTGGGATTACAGGTGTGCACCACCACACCTGGCTCTATTGGTTTTTGATGAATAGACTTAAAAGGTCTGCAGAGTCATTGGAAAGGTGCAGGTGGGCCGTACTTCACACCACACATCTGCGTGAACCCCGAAATGTGGCCTGCACTTGTCCTGGAGGACACAGACAGCCTCGAAGCGGGGCGCAAAGGATTAATAAGTTCAACTGCATTGCATTTTTATTTTTTTCTTGGCACAGACAACGGTATGGAGAATCAAAAGACAACAAGCGAGGGAAACTGTTCTGTGAGAGATGCCAAGCTCAGTGCAGGGAGAACATTTTAAAATGGGGAAAAGGAAATGAATAGGAAAACTGGCAAACATCGCCACACACAGGCTGGGCAGGTGCTCACGGCGGCCGGGCAGGAGCTGCTGGGCTGTGTTTCTGGAGAGGAGATGTGGGCCCTGGTTGGCGCCGGTGGGGCTGTGGGGAGCCCACTCCTGCGCCATCCAGACGCGGTCAGGGTCTAAGGGTGTCCGAGAGAACACAGCACGTATGCACGGCCCCACCCAGTGAGGCTTCAGAATGGATCCTGCTCACCTGTCCCCCGCAGCCCCGTGGCTCATTGGCCAGCGCCTCCTGCAGCAGTGAAATGGTGGGACCATCCGGAATATGGCACCCACGGGGACTAGAGATTCAAGTGCAGTTGCTACAAAGTATTAACAATACAGCCGGGTGTGGTGGCCCACAGCTGTCATCCCGCACTCGGGAGACTGAGGCAGGAGGATCGCCTTGAGCTTGTATTTGGGGGTGGTGGAGTAAACCAAACATGAATGAACGTGACCCTCTGGGGCTTGGGTGTGAATGGGGCAGGAGCCCTGTGCATGTGGCGCACATTTAAAAGATGGGAAAAGGAATGAAAAGCCAACCCCCACATTAAGTGTGGGCCAGGGCTTCTGTCCACGCGTCTGGGCGTGCTGGTCACACAGGACTCGACCCCCGCAGGACTCTCACCCTGCACCGCAAGGGCGTGGCCGAGGCTGCCGTGCTGTGTGCTGTGTGTCGCTGTTTAAATGCTTGTAATACTCGCTGCAGTCCGCATGTTTGTCTGTCCTCCAGAATCCAATTTCACATATAATCCTCAGTGCCAACTCAGTGAGAGGAGGCCCTTTATTTTTAATTTCGTTTGTTTGGTTGTTTGAGTCAGGGTGTCACTATGTAGCCCAGGAAATCTCAGTGTTCTCCTGCCTCAGCCTCCTGAGCACTGGGAGGACCGTGGTGCATCACACACCCGGTGTGGTGGCCCTTTGGGAGAGGGGAGGTGTAAATCTGGAATAGGAGAGTGGGAAAATGCCTGTTGTGTTTAATTTTAATTGGAACTCTCTGGATTGACTAAGAAATGATCCCTGTGACACACACACCTATAAATCACAGCTTCTCAGGAGGCCAAGTCAGGAGAACTCCAAGTTTGCAGCCAGCCTGGACAACGTATGTGCCTCAGTATAAACACTGAAAAAGGGCTAAGGGTGGCTGGGTGTGGGGGACTTGGAGGACTCGGGACTCCCTGGACTCGGGAGGCTGAGGCAGGAGGATTGTTGCAAGTTTGAAGCCAGCGTGGGCCAGACTGAACTGCAGAGCGAGACCCTGACCACTAGGAGCAGTGAGCACCCTGGGCCCAGATCTTGGCCTCTGAATTCTACTCCCTCAAAAGGGATCAGGGCTCCTTGGAGCAGCTGCTGACTCCAGGCCTGTTATGGACCTGTCCTGGTGGATAGGGTGTGTCTTTCCCAGGACACAGTGGCGTGGGGCTCCCTGGACACATTTGGGAGAAACTCAGGTAATGAGGCCGCAGCAGTCACGTACAGGACCCTACTGAGCACGGAAACCCACAAGACACCAGGGAGCTGGCAGGAGGGAGGGCAGCAGTCCAAGCCCAGCAAGCTGGGCAGGCAGTGTGGAGAGGCCTAGGGTTAGGACTGCTCTGCTGCCCCTGGCAGGATGACTGATTCCGGGGTCTGGGAGCCCGGTCCACTGGCAGGGCCCGTGGCAGCCTCTCAGGGTCCCCACATGTGGGGCACACCAGGCTTCCCCCAGAGCCCAGCCAAGCCACTAATCTCAGTGAAATTGTGGGGCCAGGGACAAACCCACCCTGGCGACTATGCACGAAAACCCTGAACCTGTGCCCGTAATCCAGCAGCGGGGAAACCTAGTCCCACGCTACCCTGGGCCGCACAGCGACCTCCTCTCCAGGGAATTAAAAGCTGTGATGGCCGGTGCAGCCCATGGTCCTTGCTTATTAGATCCTGGGCTGAAAAACATGAAACTACAGAGGACACTTTAGGGACAATCCCGACCATCCGAATGTGGGCTGTTGGGAAGAGTGGCGACCCCACGGCACTTCTCACAAAGCAGAGCACATCCTGGGAAACAGGCCAAGGCCTGCAGGGGGCGTCCCTGCCTGCGGCTCTGGGGAGGAGCACGGTGTGCAGCCGAGCTCCAGCCTGGCCCGCGCTGTCCCACAGCGCTGCTCTGGGTATTCTTTCTCCTTCTCAGAACCCTCCACCTGGGGCCCAGCACCAGCGGGGACACAAGGCCTCTCTGGGCACCAAGGGCTGGTTTCTCGTTCCCTCCTGCACAGGGAGGCCGGGCCAGGGCCTGCAGGTCCACCCAAGTCCGGGTGACCCTGATGCTCCGAGGCCTCTGCTGTGACCCGGGAGGAGGTCGTCCTTGAACCCCTGCAGCAGTCCCTAGGCCCCCACCCATTGTGCGATGCAGGGTTGAAGAAAAACTGGACAGAGTTAAAGAAAGTGTGAGCCAGCGAGGATGGCCAGTGATCCTGGGCAAAGGGCCCGGCCTGTCTCCTCCACCGAAGTTTAGTATTCGTCAGTCAGGATAAAGGTGCAGGACGTGAAATCTCCTTGGAAACCAAGGCAGGCAAGGCTTTGAAGAGAAGTCAAAGCATTTTCAAATCAGAAGCAAGACAGACACAGGGATTTAGCTCAGTGGTGCTGCCGCCTGGCTGGCAAGTGCAAGGTCCGAGTTTGATCCCCTGGTACCAAAAACAACAAAAAAGAAGCAAGATAGACAAAAACATATGGTGGTAATTAGAGCACTGTCCTTCAAGCTATGAAGGCGCCGTGGGGATGGAATTTGGGTGCGAATCCTCCTACCTGTGCCCTTCCACATGGCTCATGCGCTGCCTC